TATTCTTATCCTCACACTGTTTCCCAGGTGCCACTCAATGGCAGCCCACTGCTCCCCAAGGGGATGGGTTAAATGCATAGAGTCAACTCTCCGTCTACTACTACTACTACTCTGTCAACTCTTACCCATTGCCCATGAGACTCTCGTATCTCAGTGTCTTTACACATTCTCACTCCATATCCGCAATTTTTCACGCTAAACAATGACAGACAAAAAAACTCAACTCCATTCCACTTATTTATAAATAAAAATACCATGGTAATAAAAATCCAGTCCACGTTTACAACAAAACCTTAGTAGTAACATGCAAGGACATGCAAGGTTTATTCCCAGTCCGTTGTTTTACCAGCTCACCTGACAGCAGGAGATGAAGGACCTGTGCCAGATATTAAAAAGGATTAAAAAGGTTATTATTACGAGGTATGTCATTTGATTTTTTTTATCTTATCTTATCTGGACTAAGATAATTAGCTTTGTTAATTAATGAATATTTTAAGCAATCTAGTACTTGAGTAAATATTGATAAAATATACAGCAGTTTAAATTATGAATGTGGAGACTGAGTGTAGGATCACATCAAATGGTTTGTTTTCTCTATAGTGCTGTTTTAGTAAGCTTTACTCATGTTTGCTCTAGTAGTTTATCCTTCCAATTTAGTCCCAGTTTTAGTTTATGTTTTGCTCCCAAGTAAAATAATTATTGCTCAGTATAGTTTAATAATCTCTTGTTGGAATTTAGGACTAATTGAACCAACAAAACTATCTAAATTCTTAAAGCTTTCAGGTAGGCCTCACAAACCCATAGGAGGTCCACAAAAAAGAAAAAGAACCATTGCACTTTATTTTTCAAAAGATCAGCCACCCAAGAGAAGACCTTCCACATCCAGAGAAAATGTGCTGAACAGCTCAGTTATCCAGGAATTATAGAGGAGGGAATACAGGGATGTTCTTATTTTATTATTACTCATCTCATTCATTTATCCTTATTTTGGTCCATTGAATATGTTTAGAAACTTAATTTCCATGACATTTTCCAAAATGAGACATCCAGAGAAGTACTGTTTTGAGTCACTGAAAGTTTCTATAGACTCTACATCCTCCTAGAAGGTCTGAATGAAAAAAAAAAAAAATAAGAATGATTTTTAATCCTTAGCCTTGGTTTACACGGAATTCAATTTCAGTGGTTCCTATATTAGTGTCAGTTACCCAGGAATAACTTTATTTTACTTGAAATGCATAGAATAGTTTATAAAATTCTTGAAAAACTTTGTTTACAGTATATTTAAGATGCAATTATTTTAGCAGGGCCCATTCTTCTTTACTTCAGTTCTCTGAAAATCACCTGAATATAGAAAAAATTTATATTGTGTGAAAAATATTTCCACATAACTACAGATCACTAATTGTTCCTCAGTAACATTCACTGTTCTATCAAAAAATCCACATTTTGCCACTTTCTTTCAGTTAAATCCTCTGAAAACCTACAACCTATAGGTGCACCTATCCTCATAGCCGTTCAATCTAACCCTGACAAGGGTTGCCTGTGCAACCTATTTTAATATCTCACTCACAGGTTTGGTAAAAGGTTGGCGGCCCTGGAGTTCATTTCACTGCTCTGATGCAGTGGAATGTTGCTTCTTTAGAGTTGCCATGGGCTCTCCTTCTGCTTCTTTCATTACAGCACTCTTTGGCTACCTGTCCTGTTCCCAAAGCTCAGGATATTATGTTATAACTTAATTCCGCTACAGTTTTATACTAATATGTCTGGTGTGTGACCTTGGTCTTGATAAAGGTGTTTTTCACTAATGTTCTCTAAATTGTGTTCCTATTTGATATTTACACATCACATTATTATAAAGGATGTTGGTTGCACTGAATATTATTACAGTAGATGTATCAGAGCAAAGGGGGTTTAGTATATATCTATATACCACATATTTGTTTTGGAATTTTGTAATCAAATTTTGTAAAATCTAAACTAAACTAATTTTTACAGTAATGTAAAGATTATAAGTTGACACAATTTGGAAAAAGTTCAAGGGATGCAAATACTTTTGAACCTACCCAGATTCCCAGATGACAGTCCTCCATGGCTTCTCAGGTTCAGTAGATTCTGTTAAAAAAGAAAACTAGTTTGATAATTGAACTTTATCAACTATAGCTTTTATTTTATAATAACAAACCTTGTCTACAAGACAATGTTGATATAATGAAAAGTCATATTTGAAATACATTGTATGTGTATGCTAAGGACATGGATGAAAGTATATTTAACCTAGTTTAGAAATGTGTAATTGATGTATTAATGATAATGTATTACAATTGTTGTTTTTAAATTTCAATGAAAATGAAAGGCTGATAACTCACCCTCCACTTGGTAAACTTCACATTCAGTCAGGTTCAGGTCATTTCCATGCATTTCTGCAGCATTGAAGTTGTACTGAGCTCCTGGGTTGCTGTGTATCACTGGTTGGCTTCCATCCACAAGAACTAGGGATTCCCCAAAATAAGGACCAGAGTTGCCAATCATTCTGACGGCATGAGGAGCACTAATTACTGGATATTTTTTTAGTTTTCCACCAGTAAAACCAAAAAGAAAAGCCTGATCATCATTCACATACTATTCAGACTGACTAAAAGGCTGGCTGGTGTAGCCTCCAAACACATAACCAGAAGCGTTGTAGCCCACAGACACAGTGGGTGACCGGTTGTCACATCGCTGGTGGAAGGCGGCACCAGTAAAGCCGTGGACGGTGGCCTTGTAGAGAAGCTTCAGTTTAACTCTTCCCAGCTGAGAGCAGATGGTTCTCTGCTGGTCCCTGGAGAGCTCTGACTTCAGAGTAGACATCTGAGCTGCTGATCTTAATGTAAAGCTGAAATTCAAGTTCAGACTGAAAAGAATAAAACAAAACAGATTTGTTAAGGATTTTTGAAAAATCAAACAGTTAAACTTCCTTTGAAATATTTCTTTACAATAAATAACGGTATATATCAAAACCAATGGCTACTCTAAAGTCTGAATAAGCCTGGAATAATATGCTACAAACTAAGTACTTCAATAATTACCAGCACTATAAAACTTTTTTCCAGGAACTAAGTTACCTTTATGTTATATAGATTCATAGCACACGTTATATATTCCAGACATTTATTTATGTTAATTTTGACTACTATTTGTAAAAGCTAATCAAAACCTAAACTTGAATTTCACATTGAACAAAACCAGTTTAGAAACAGAAATGTAAAATTTTGATCTAAACAATCCTGGTTGTATTGAAAGCTATCCAGCAGACAGACAATGGAGGGCTCCTTAGGAGGAGGAACCAGTAAAGAAACTGGCTGTTTACTCATATCCCTGTTAGATCAGTAAAATATGAGCTACAACCGTTTAATTGATAGTGATAACCAGTGGCGGATCTAGGGAGAGGCTAATTGGGCTAAAGCCCAGGATGTTTCCCCAAGAGCCCCGGATCTCGCTTCTGAGCTGAGCTGAGTAAAATGTGCAGTACTGGAATTCACTAGATGGTGGCAGCATGCGCAGGAAAGCAGCCTGTAGCATTCGCGCACAGAAAAAAAAATTGTCACCACTAGCTGTTGCTAAACAGACTGATGTCCCAGGGATGTGAAGCTCTGACTGACTTCCAGACGTTCTTTATCCCGGTGTTGTATGAAATTCTGTCCCCTCTGTGTGGGGAGCTCGCATTGAAGCCAGAGAGGCTGACATGGCGGATGGGACCATTTTAATGGTGCTTCTGATCAATTTCTCGCTAAAAACAACTCCTGTAATGATGACGATGTTGTATCATCCAATTTAATCAGCAGCTGTTGTTTAGAAAATTGTAAAATAAATTAATAAATAAACGAGGTCCTTTTTAAGCTGTTTTGTGTGGTTTTTTAACGCCAAGATCTTTCTGCAACAAATTTTTCATTGGTGATATAAGAGGATGGAAACCAGCTGATAGCAGGACACAAAAATTAAGAGCTCCTGAAAAGATGAGTGTAGACTTTCTGCTAAATCCCATTCTAATGTAAAATATGACAGATTACTGGATTAAGGGCATTTCTAGTGAATGACATGCTATAACACATAACCATTTTTGAGAATTTGGAAACAGCTGCTCTTTATTTTACAAAAATAAGGGGGCAGGAGAGGAGAGAATGGATATTTCAGATGCCTTAAATAATCTGTTCCCCCTTCATAACATGGGATTAAATTCATTCACCTGCAAGTCTTTAACTGTATTTATTCCTCTCTTCAGTGTATGACGTCATCCGTGTGCCGGACTAGAGTCGTGACAGGCAGCCCGGGCCACAGGCGGCTATGCTCTACCCCTTCTATTCATTCGGCTAGCTAATCTGAATCGTTCAATTCCATTTCGAGAGCGAGATCATCTGTGGTAGCAGCACTAGACATCTTCCAGGCATGTGAGTAAAACTAGCAGCAGTTCAGCGGACAGGATGAATGAACGGTAGCTGCCACGCGCAGATTACGTCATACACACTCC